TAACACTACTTACAACACAGAAGTTCAGCCGTCACAACAGATCCAATTACACAAGCAGAAAAAATGCTCTCAAATAAAGCTTTTAAAGCTTCAACCAGAAATAGAACTAACCCGAACACAAATAGATTACTCACCCCCAAGTAATCACAAATATCCAAAAGCCATACTGGGCATTAGTCTACACTAAAGTCCACAAGAAACTTCACAAAGTTAGGATCATGGACACCACAAAGTACCTCAAAAAACAAACAACAAAACACACACACACAAAAAAAAAACAAATATTTAACTAACTTAAATTTTCCTTTTACTTCCATCAAAAAGTGAGCATGGTTGCTGAACCTAGACACAATACAAAACACATGAGATACACCCGGATACCTGCCTAACACTTCTAACTCCTATCTATCTTCTGAGGTGTACCGGGCACGAGGCGACTTTAAAAGCAAAACCTCAGCAACTGTGAACCAATTTATCAATGGTCACAGTTCTGAAATGCTTACCCCCGACAGAGAACAAGTCTCCACCCAGAATAACCTCGAAAACAAAAAAGGAAAAATAACAAAAGAGTGAACCGATGGAAGGATTGAATAATCAACCCAGCTGGAACTCTCACCCTACCTAACCGGGAAAACTCATGCATATATTCAAAAAAATACTCAAACAACCATACTCACCAAATGATCTCAATCAAAGGAGAGAGAAAAAGAAAGAAAAAAACAGTCCCCAAAATCTCAAAAGAAACATATTTTTTTTACCAACCAAATTGGACGAGCCCCCATTATGTTACAACCCTGGCTCTAGGGATGCAACATAAAGGACACAAAGACAGAAATCTGCCAATCAAAATTAAAGTTTATTTTAATATTAAAAGAAAGAAAAAAGGACTGTAGGAACAACGCCCTGCAGCAGCAAGAGGATCTCTCAGCAAGAGGATCTGCGTCCTAGATTTAAGTAGCTCCCGTCAGGTGGCACCAATTAGCCAGTTGATTGCAGGTGATCTACTAGGGAAAAATGCAGTGACATCCAGATTATAACACTCACACATAACAGGCTAGTCAGGTGGAATGCCCAGTCAGTTCTCGAGGGAGCTGACTGCGAGCATTGTGTGAAGCTTTCTATGAGAACGCTCCGCTCTCGCCGGGCATTCTTTGAGAAGGACGGTTCGGTTCGCGTTACCCGAGGTGCGGGTCCCGCTGTCGCCGAGGCACAGCGTCGACTTGCATCTTGGGGTTCGATCAGCGTCGACTTGCAAATAGATCTGGTAGCGGGGTTTGAGACGGGTCCCGCCCTATCTCAGCCCTTACCTGCTGGATCCAGTGCCTCTGCCCAGGGAGGAGCCCGCTCTGCGGATTCTCCTTCCCGGGCTGAGGCACCAATGCTGACGCTGTCCAGTTCCGAGGAATTGGATGTTGTCAGCGTTGACGTGGGGGATCATGATGTTTTGCCAGCTCGTACCCCCGGTGATGAGGAGCTTTTGGAGGTTTTGTCACGAGCTGTAGCTAGATTAAATATTGACTGGCCAGCTGATGAATGTGAAAGTGTTTCAAAGAAAAGTATACTTGATGAGAGATTTTTGTCATCCAAAACACTGCCTCCACGTCGGGGCTTACCATTCTGGCCAGATCTTCACACTGAGGTGGCGAGATTGTGGAATAAACCTGTCTCATTCAGAGTGTTTAACCTGCATACATCTAATTATAGTAACATAATAGGTGCCGCTGATCACGGTTATGCGGCGATGCCTCCGGCTGAAGAGACGCTTGCGAGTCATCGTCATCATTAAAAGCCCCGACATAACCCACCAGACCATTAAAATCTACATCCTCTCTGGTGGGTAAAGCATACTTCAATTCTCTGGTGGGTAAAGCATAACTTCAATACTTCAATTCGAGAATTGCGTTGCGCGACAGATGGCCAAATCAGTGGTAGGCTTGCCGCGATAGACGGTGTTGACGGTGTTACCGGTTTTAAGCCCCATCACTGGTGACATCACTTTCCCACCTTGACACCGTGATGTCTTGACTTTTTTTAAAGTATTCGTTTTTGCTAAAATATTTATTTGAATTAATTAAAAATAATAATTTTCAATTATTTAGTTCAGAAGAGAGCATACATTATATTTAAAAATGAACTGCGCAGTGCGTGCCAAGAGCCAGTCACGTCACCGATCAGCAAGCATCAGGATTTTATTTAGCACGTGTGGAGACGAGAACGAGTCAAATTACAAAAACGCAATGCAAAAGCGCCTGTTTGGCAATGTTTTGGGTTGAAACCAAATTCAAAAATGGAACCTGAAAACGTTAATGAGGCAATCTGCAAACTTTGCCTGGCAAAGGTTGCAGCATCTGGAGGAAACACAAGTAATTTACACACGCACCTTCAAGCGCACCACAAGACTGAGGCTGCCAAAATGGGCACTGCAGTAAAACATCGACCGCAGAAGCCAGACAGACACACAGGTACAACAATCAATTAGTACTGCGTTTGCGCGATGCACCGTTAATAAACGTTAATAAACGTTTTATGGTTCTTATTTGTTTGGGCCCACAGTTTGCCGATTTTCACTTTTTTCAGCCTATGCATGGGGTTATTTTTATTCGTTCATTATGCTAATAAAAGTGCTGTCTATATTTTATTCGTTTGTTATGCTAATAAAAGTTCTGTCTATAAATAAAAGTTTGATTATCAGCGAGTTGTTGCTTTTTGTCCATTCAAGCAATTGACGCTGAATTGCCAATTGACGCTTATTTCGAAAGTGAAAGTATAACGCGCACGCATTTAAAAGGTATTTAACTCTCCACGGTGACACCGGGATTACCGGTGTTGTCACACGTCGATTAACCGGTGGGAAATTTTCCTCACAGCGGCTACCCTAATCAGTGGGCCGGTCTATGGCAGCCCTGGTGGCCACGGAGCGCCACCTATGGTTGAAATTATCTGAAATAAAAGAAAAAGATCTGTTCTGTTAGATGCACCGATGTCACCACAAGTCTGTTCGGCGACGCTATTAACTGTGTCATCGATCGATTTCAAGAAACAAAAAAGCAGTCAGCTGCATTTCAGAAAATCCTTCCTCGCCGTTTTGATGTTCCTGAGGCTGCTGGTCGTAGAACTTTTATTAAATCTGAGCAGCCTCAGCCAAGTACTAGCTCCTCACACAGAGCACGCCAAAGGCAAAGCATGGCCGCTCGGGCTCCTCCACAATCGGGCAGTCACAATCCAGGTCAGTTAGGGGTAGGCAAGATCTGAGGACTGTCATCTCTAAAAAGGCCTGGAGTAAGATGAAGTACTGACTCGCAGGCGGTCAAACTTCTGAGGGTGGTCCCCTCCGGGGAGGGATGGTTTCAAAGAATCCACTATCCTCTGGGGGGCGATGCTCCGAGGAGTATCGCAGCGCTGCCACATCGGTTGTTCCCTGTCGGTTTGCCGTTTCAGGGCACCGAGGTGTCAGCGTCCCCATACGGTCCTCCGAGGAGGGTCGTAGAACGGTCAGTTCGGTTGTTCCCTGTCGGTTCGCCGTTTCAGGGCACCAAACGGACGTGTCCGTTCAACAAAATCCCGAGGCCAGTCTTGAGAGACTGGTCCCCTTAGTGGAATTCATGGCAGCATGGAAACTACTGCCAGATATTTCTCAATGGGTCCTGCATGTGATAGAAAAGGGGTACAGAATTAAGTTCGGTTCTCGTCCACCCAGATTTTTAGGGGTCCTTCCCACAGTGGTGGTCCCCGAGCAGGCTCGGGTTATGGAACAGGAAGTAATGACGCTTTTGCAAAAAGGAGCTATAGAAAGGGTTCCTCCTACCAGCAGAGAGTCAGGGTTTTACAGCCGATTCTTCATCGTTCCCAAGAAAGATGGTGGGTTCCCAGATAGCAAACTGACATTGAATCAACGTGGAAATATGACATTGAAACAACGTTGATCCGACATTGTTTTGCTCATCGAATTAACGTGGAACCAACGTCAGGCGCGTCATTCTTTCAAAATTAACGGAAAATCAACTTGAAATCAACGCGTTGTTTCAACGTTATGAAAGCAAACCAATTTTCGATTTTCATTTAGCTTTGAAGAATGCCGCGTCTGACGTTGGTTCAACGTTAATTCGATGAGCAAAATCAACGTTGTTTCAATGTCATGAGAGACGTCGTTTCCACGTTGATTCAATGTCAGTTTGCTGTCTGGGTTACGTCCTATTCTAGATCTGCGTCAGCTAAACAGCAGAGTTCAAAAGCTCAAGTTCAGGATGCTTACACTCAAACAGATCGTGTCACAGATTCAGTCCGAGGAATGGTTTGTCACAATAGACTTGAAGGACGCTTATTTTCACATATCAGTGACAGTCGTAACCTGAGACGTTTTTATGTTGACCTTATTGTATTTTCAGCTAATGAGCCGTTTGTAGACATAGGCCCATATTTGTACTATTTCTCACTGAAATGTGAATTAAATTAAACTGATATTATTTTGTAAATTATATCATAATTCAATTTGAAGGGGCATAAAAGACATTTTAGGGGGGGCATTGCCCCCTAATGTCCCCCCATACCGCCGGCACTGGATTTGGCTGTGATATAAAAAAATATTAATAAAATCAGGGAAAAAAAATGTCTAAAAAAATGTCAATGTATAATAACAATAGACCTATATTTTAAATGTTTGATGGAACTCCGTGTTGATTAGGGCCTACCGCAGAATTTCCTAGAAATACACTGTAGTGATTGATTGTATTTGTCGGAATGAACCACATGGGTGTTAAGATTATGTTGCTTTAAAATTAAAAAATTTGAAGCACCAACCTCAAATTTAGGACCTCTTTGATTATAAAGCCCTGTCTATGGCTTCTGGAATCTGTAGCCTATATGTTTTGAATGCATTTAATAAACTTAATTACCTAGCTTTAGTAACTTTCAGTGAATAAACGTACCAGTTTCAGCATAGCTTAGCATACATCTGTGACTGGTGTGTTCTTGTGCAGATGTAATCACACTGAGATCAGGTGGATGGTTACTCACAGATGCACTTTACTGGGTCTGGGACAAACAGACTGGGACAAACACCAACAAAGGCAGGTTAACATAATGCATCACGCTGCTCAAGACATCAGCAGCACGAGATATGAGAGTCTGCTCACTAATATTTTTACAGGGTGATCGTGAACATATAGTGGAGTAAAAACCAAAATAAAACACATTAAAGAAAATATAAATCATTGTCTCTGTTCTCATTATCACTTCACAAATACAGAGAAGCATAATCTTGAATAACCATCATTTTACATAATTAAATGAAACACTGAAAATGAGCACAGACCCTAAATGGCATGGTTACACAGATCAGCACGTGCGAGCACGTGTGAGCATGTGTGCCGACACGTGAGTTAGGGCTAACACTCAAATTAACTAACATAACTTCACACAGAACGCGACAAATCTGAATAAAACATACCTGGGACAAACACCAACAAAGGCAGGTTAACATAATGCATCACGCTGCTCAAGACATCTTAAATGAGAATAAATAGAGTTCGTCAGAGGATTACCATACACACACACGTCATTTTATCATTGCGAATCACAGATATTCAACTCGACTGACAAAAATAGTGACTAACAGTTTAATGTATACTTGTGTGTAATATAAAATCCATCCATTGCACTTAAGGACTATATAAACTCATTTTTATGACACAGCGCTTATAAATGCGACTTACCAGCAGCACGAGATATGAGAGTCTGCTGCTGCTGGTGACGTAGCTCCGCCCATGACGGTACGCACGCTGATGCAAGAGACGTAACAGCCAATGTCGAGTTTTCCCAATTTATACATGAATTTATAAACATTCTTTTAAACTCCGTTACACATCATTGAAGTGCACAAGACCATTAGCATTTCTCCCAAAAAAAATTACCTAAGTGTTTCGATATTTTTCCTATTTAAAACTTGACTCTTCTGTAGTTACATTGTGCACTAAGACCGACGGAAAATGTAAAGTTGCGATTTTATAAGCTGATATGACTAGGAACTATACCCTCATTCCTGCGTAATAAGCAAGAAACTTCACTGTAGCACCATGAGTGCAGCAGGTGGAATGACTACACAAACTTAGTCCCGGTAACGTTGGAAGCTGGGGACTATTTTCAGGCACTGCTTCATAACATTGCGCCTACTGCACTTATGGTACGGCAGTGAAGTTTCTTGATTATTACACACAAATGAGGGTATAGTTCCTAGTCATATCAGTCTAGAAAATCGCAACTTTACATTTTCCGTCGGTCTTAGTGCACAATGTAACTACAGAAAAATCTTTAAAAAGTTTTAAATAGGAAAAATATCTAAACACTCTGGTAATTTTTTTGGGAGAAATGCTAATGGTCTTGTGCACTTCAATGATGTATGCTCAGCTATGTTAAAAGTGGTACTGCCAGAACCGGAGATCGGCTGAATGGATTCAAAAAAAGGTAAAACGTCTCTGGTTACGTATGTAACCCTAGTTCCCTGAAGGGAACGAGACGCTGCGTGTAAACGCCGTGGGAACGCCTCTGCGTGACGAGTCATGAAGCACGTATGAAATCTGTCCAATGGCGAGACGGAACGTCATAGGCGGGGTGACGTATCGACCAGGAAACTATAAAGCATCCCCGAAACACAAGCGCAACAGCTTCTGATAGGACTGAAGCAAGCGCTCACGGGCATGCTGGGAGTATGGCATAGACACGCAGCGTCTCGTTCCCTTCAGGGAACTAGGGTTACATACGTAACCAGAGACGTTCCCATTCAGGGAACTTCGAGCTGCGTGTAAACGCCGTGGGAACGCTAATACCAACGCCGCCATGCGAGCAGGTGTCCGTTGTATGAAATCAGGCACATATTTAGATGAAAGCACCTGCGCCCCTGGAGCGGAGCTACCATACCCCTGGTTGAGTGAGCCCAGACAGCCAAAGGAGAAGGCTGACCGGCGGACTCATATGCAAATGAGATGGCCTCGACCACTCACTTACTCAACCTCTGCTCAGATGCGGGACAACCTTTCTTCGGAGGTCCAAAACAAACAGATAACTGTTCAGGCTTTCTCCACAGGGCAGCTCTGTGGACATAAGCATCTAGAGCCCTCAGAGGGCAGAGCAGATTAGTTTCTCTTGGTCTGACCTCACAATACCACGAAGAAAAAGAATTACCAATGGGTATCTCCCGTGAAAAGCTCCACTCAAAGGGACGTGGTAAGCAGATAGGCCACCACATACATCCTTTAGTGTGGAGTG